AAAGATGGCAAGTGCCAGAATGAAAAGGTGATAAGTACCGTGATGAAAGCTTAGAGAAAATGGAAAAATTAAACGTCATAAGAGATTTTTTCTTTGTTCACTTTAATTACAATAAAGTGCATGTTATAATTAAAAGGTATATAATATTTAATTTGAAATACATTGACGCTTAGCCGTTAGAACTCATTATAAAGTATTAATGGAAATGGCACTTACCATTTTTTACACCCATTATAAGATTAAAAAAATGAAATGAATTCTTTTATTGATATAATTATAAAAAAAAGTCTGACAAACAATAAAAATATTTTTATTTACACGTATATATTTTAAATTTAAACAGATTCTATTCACAATCTTCAGCATCGGCAAAAGCTTGTTCTATTGTCAAACGTAATTTATTTTTAATTTTATTCGATTTTATTCTTTTAAATCGATCTACCAATGATAAACAATAATAATAATCGCTATCCTTTTGTATTAGATCTTCGTCGTGTGATGCTTTCAAAATTTTTATTAATTCGCTTTTCCAATTTTCTTCCATTTTCCTTCGTTTTGTACCTGAGAAATTACGGAGAATTAATTAATTTTGTTAATTAATTTAACGATAATAAATGAAAAAACCGTACAAACCATTAGCGTATGATATATTGTCATTGGAGAAGATTAGACTCTTGTCGCATATATTACTCGATTCACACGAGAAAGGTTCTACATCATGAGCTTCACTCTCTTCTTCATCCTGATCATCAATTGATGATATATGGAAGGAAGCATCCTGTGCTAAAAATTCAAATTTATAATTATTATTTTATTATATAGCTTCGTAATAAATACAGTAAAACCTGTGTAAACCGGTACCTAAAACACGTTTTCCGGTTTGAACAGGTTCTTTTATTTTAACATAGAAAATCGCTGTTTTAGACAGGTTTTATTGTATTAATTATGTTTCTAGTATAATATACTACCCGTTTATAGTTGTATAATGAACACGCATTTATAAAACACTTAAAATTTAATATACAATTTACACACGTGACAAAAGAAAACACGCTGAAAACCTGTTATATGTATGTAATTTTTAATGCTTCAGGTCTTTCGCTATATAACTTTAAGTTAGATTCTTATATTACAGAGGTAAAGAAGGGGGGAAAAATGATAAATACTTACAAAGAAAAATATCATTTTCATTACAAACGGAATGTGTTGAGTGACATAAATCTACGGGTTCCGGTGTATTTATATCATTGCTAAAAAAAAAAAGAAGTGGGAAAGCAGGAAATCGAACGGTTAGGTGGCATACAAGCACGGATATTTAGAAAACAAATGGCACATATTATTATATAGATCATACTTGAGGTTTTCGTGGTTAAGTGACGACGTTAGNTTTCGTGGTTAAGTGACGACGTTAGAAACGTCAGAATTTTACTGTATTTCCAAACTTTCTTCTTACAGGCTGTAGGATCGTTGGGATGTTGCCTTTCTTTCACTACTTTTCGGTATCGATCACGTAGATTACCCCATCTTTTTCTTAAAAATTGCTCTATAACGTAAGTAAAAAAAGACCATCCCTCACCATTAACAGATAAAACTTTTTTTTTTTTTTTTTTTTTTTTTAAGGATTTTTCTGACTTACCTTCGATGTTCATGCGTTTCGATATCGCTTCCCACGATATCTTCTTCTTACATATATCCTTATAGTCTTCGCGGGTGGCATCGTACAAGCAAGGATACCTTTTCACTTCTTCTATCAGACACTCGTTGATGTCTCTAAATGCCATTTTATGTGTATTATTAGCGATAAACGTGAGCTTTGGATAAATGGAGCTAGAATCTAGTCAGAGCATCCCTTAGTGGAAGTGAACCGACCCGTTTGGTGGTGACCCGACAAAACGGATAGACGGCAGTCTGTTGTCATGACAACCGCCGGCTGGCCGTTAAAAACGTATCCGGTAGGCACACCGTGACGCCAGTTTAATACGTGTACAACAGACTAAAGTCTCCTCCGTACAGCGGTTACTTTTTTTATGCACGAAATTAATATGAAATATTATCGATTTTTAAATCATTAAATATTCATTATACTGTATATATAATTTTCTACTTGTAAATTTAATTACTTGAACGGGAGGCAAATTAAATACACTTCAAAAAATCAATAAGTTTTCTTTTTAATTTGTAAAAAAAAAATAAATTAATTATATATTTTATCGATTAAAATCTGTTAATTAATTGTAAAAATACTCGATTTAAATACGTCTTCGTTCGAGCTGATCGATAAATTATACTTAAACTATTTATTATTATTATTATTATTATTTTCTGTTTATGGTGCGTTACAGACTCGCGGGGCCTTGGCGAATTCGAATTAGGGGGCCCCACGTACAGAGTTGACATTAGGGGAAATGTTTTTTTATTTATTTAAGAAAGATTTGTTTGGGGCCTCCTGTTAGAAGGGGCCCCAAACAATTGCCCTATTTTGCACGTAAGATAACGCGCCACTGTTTGAACGAATGGAATACGTAGAATGTTTCTTTATCAATTAATAAAAAACGGCTTTAATTTCTTTTAAAGTTCTTATTATTTTGTTAGTAAAAATAACGTTAATTTATAGAGTGGAAACAGGAAGGGCCTATAAAGTTTTCTTCCAGATCAATGAAGATCTCTAGCTCCCCTCTCGACTGTCCTGTTTGTAAGTTATGCTGCCGACGTACTGGAGGAGTGAAATATAGAATACAATGCAGTATATTACAGTATAATAATCACAATATATTATATTCAATACATGTATATTATATACAAGGTCTTTCGTATGTTGCGTGGAGGCCCCGAGTACACCTTTTTGAGACACTCATTATATTAATTTCGAAGGAAGTGAGTGTTAGGCTCTTTTAAATATGATTTCTTGGTCAAATGGCCTAGCATACTTATAAGGGAGTTTGGTATTATTCTACATAGGGTTGCTGAATCTCCGTTACAGTTAACTGATACGAGGAACGAAATGAACTTCGACCCAGTCAAAAGTGAACTATGACCTCGAAAAAGCTTAATTTTGAAGGTATGGATGCGTTTTATAAAAAAATGTAAGTTCTAATAACGATTGCAATTTGCCAACAGTAGTACTTCCGGATGACCGAGGTAGAAGAGGCATTGTCCTGCCATTCCGAAAAGCCTGGTTTCCAGATCGGGTCAAGAACCTCGGGAATTTTTCGCGAGATATATCCTTCATCATCTGGTCTCCATAGTGGAGGCGTATTAGATCTCAGAAGGAGTACAAAGAGGCCCTCTTACTGCCTCCAGGGAAAAAGTCTGGGGAAAAAATATTTAAATTGTATAATTGTCATATTATAATTATGTGGATTCAGTAGCGTAACTAGAACCGATATCAGGGGGTCCGAATTAGAACGTGCAAACTTACATTCACTATGAATGAGGCGTACAATCTTCTTCCATGGCGCTAGAGTACTGTACATACATGTGTATTAGTACATTTGTTACATTAAAATCTTTCTCTTGTTTACTTGACTTTTATTTATTACAAAGGTAAGGGGGCCCCTTTAACTATCTTGTTACGCTACTATAAGGACGATTAATTCATAAAAAATGCTTTAGTATGTACGTAGAATGCTTAAAACTGTGTACGAATATACATAAAAATACATTTATTACATCACTTCTCAATAAATATATGGGTAATTTAATTCTTACATTAAAAAAAAAGTCTTTTTACAATATTAAATTGAGCAGAATGGTTTTATTTCCTGAAAATAATAAAAAAATAAAAGTACGAATTGATTCATAGCAGCGTTGTAGAGCAATTTTTTAATCTACAAAATTTCTCCTTTTTATCTTTTTTTTTCATGGATTAACATTGTAATTTAAAAATGTCCATCATACATTACACAATGGCCACATTCCTCCATCTTTGAGATCTTTGCCCATGATCTTATGAGATGATGGACTTCGACTTAAAGCATCTCAATCTCAACCCATTGATATTAATGTAATGTACTTCAGTTTGTTCGGTTAATTGATTAAAATTAAATAGACCCTATCATGCATTTAATGTGGTTATTGATTACTCCCATTTAATTGTTTGAAACTTCAATATTTTGATGGAAATTAATGTATTCCTGTAGAATTTCATATTGCTCGTTGGTAATCAAGAATACATTTCCTTGCTCGAGTTTCAATCCAGTACAATTCTCCATCCCTTCGACACTAAATTTCGAATCCTCTTCTTCGAAAATTTCATTAAATTTCCAAATTTTAACAAAAGGAAAGTACATTTCGAAGAAATTCACACCGTTCACAAGAATTTCACACTTCTCCATTTTTATACGCGTTAATAAATCAATGATTAATTTCGCGTGTTCTCGAATATCAGAAAAGTAATTTGCTAACGAGTATTTGCTGCTTACCATTACGTAAACATAAATTTGTAAATTTTCATTACATTTGTAACTTTTGAGGATATTTGTTAAATGATCCCTCATCTCTTCGTATTCGGACCATAATTCGGGCAGGGTTAGAAATATCTTATTGACTTTAGAATTATTTAAAAATTCTAAAAATTGCCCATTAGAATACACGGAGAATCTCAAATGTATTTTAGAACAGAATTTATTCCACGTGTCTTCGTTTCTCATTTCTTTCTGAGCTTTTTGTAGAAACGATGCTTCGAATCCATTATAAAGTGGATAATCTATCCACGAATCTAAAATTTCACATTCGTCAATCAATCCACACGTAAATAAAAATATATTCTTATCGAAAATAGATTTAACTAACAAGTCTAATGTCAATTGCTTGTCAGAGGAGATGTATAGAGAAGACAGGAACTGAAAGAGTGCTTTGTGTACGGGTTCGTAAATCGTTATTTCTTGTCCTTCAAAAGTTGAATGGGAATACGTTAAGATACCAAATCCTAAAATCGCTTCGTATTCATCCTTATTGGGAAATTCTTCTTCTAGCTTGCTAGATTCCAATGGTTCGTTAAAGAATAAACAATTCCACGCAAGTTTACCCAATCTAACCAGCAGATTCTCACCTAAGAAATGTTTACCAATTTCCAAAATTGTATTACCTTCTTTCTTTCTGATGTATCTGTAAATAAGATGAGAGAATAACCAGATAAATAAGTCTGTTTTTCTTTCCAATTTCAATATTGATCTCTCCCAGTGTAGGCAACACAACATATGCAGCAACAAAGGGCATTCAGCTAATCCGAGAAGAGAATGATTCTCTTCTATAAGATTTAACAGACTTTTAACATGTTCTTCGTTATTTCCAGTTAAAGCTAAATTAAACATTTCAATATATTTTTTCTGATTTTCTTTAGAGAAACCTTCTATTGATACACATTCATCCATATATTCTCTTATATCTCCTACAGCGTGGGGACGACTCGTTATAATAATTGTAATATTTCGAGAAATGAGGAGGGAATCGTTTGTAATAAATTGTATAACGGAATCTTTATAAACTTCATCGTAGCCGTCTAATATAATCAGAAAATTCAAATTGCTTCTATGCTTCGACGTGGTCACTATCTCTTTCTCTGATTCATCTAGTGTTGTATCTATAATGGCATCCAGCACGGCTTTATCATTTAGCGTATTCAGATTAATTACAATGACAATATCGAAGTGCTTCAAATATCCTGAACGTTCTTCAGAAGCCCAGTCGTAAGCTAATTTCTTGCAAAGTGTTGTTTTACCGAAACCGGGTCCACCTATAACTAAAATTATCTGACGTCCCGTTTTCGTCAAGATGTCTTTCAACTGAACAGTTTCTTTCTTCTTTCTTCCACATAAATCAGCATTTTTGAAATGAAATTTTATCAAATATTGATTAAGTGGAAAGTCGTAACCTTTTCCTTCCCAAACGTAAGATCTCATGTCTACATTCTTAGTCAGATAATAACTGTTTAATCTTTCCTTGCATTTTAAAAATATCTCTAGAAGGAAAGAGTAAATTTCAAATAATTAGATAGTAATTATATTATTTTATTGTTTTATAAATAGTGAGTGACCGTAATTGAAGAATCCCTATTCAGCTTCCTGAAGAGACAGCACATTGCCCCTTCCCTTTAAGGTCCTGGTTACCATTGCCACATCAACAGCGTTCCTCTTGTCTTTATAGAGATATTTGCAGTCCAAATACAAATCCAATTAGTACCAAAACTCACCACTATGGCACTTTTAGCACCATAGCGATACAGGTAATACTGCTGTATTCTAAAGATATAAATGCTCAATGTGTGATGCTGTTAAATTTATAACATTTTCTCGATAAACCACACTTTAAGTGTTCCATAATCAAAAATTACATACATTAAGATCACACGGCTTGGTGCTTTAAACCATAAATGCCATCGTACCAAATTCGGTTGCATTTGTATTGCTAAATATCTTTGTACACAGCGTCGAATAGGGATACTTTAATTTTGATCACCCGATATTTACACTTACGTTGCTTAAGCTCTTCTTGCGATTTTTCACGTGAATCATAAAATATGCTGGACTGTCAATTAAATAAGAATTAATTATTTTATTTTGCAGAAGCACGTATAAGATTTATAATTAACTTTAATCAGTATAATAAATAAGTTTATCATTTAATTTTATTATTGATTACAGTATACTAATCCCTATACAGTAGTCAAGAATTTGGGAGAAGTGAGATGATCATTATGATTTAAGGTTGATCAGAATGACTAGATTAATCATAGCAGCAATTTGTGTGGCTCCCATTTTTTCTTAATCTATATCTATATATACATATAAAAATGGAGATGTATGTCCCTATATTTCACTTTTCCGCCAAAACTACACATCGCACGTGAATGGTGTTTGTATGTGGTAGTAGCCCCAAGTCTC